TTAAAAAATTTTAATTTATTTCACTTTAAATCAACGTGTGATATACCACCAAAACAGTTTTTTAATTGAATAACCAAGTCAAATAATGATAACTGTTTATTTTTTTTAGATATTAGTTTAAAAAAAAAAATTAACCATTAAATTTGAGAAGATTTTATTTCAATCGAAATCAATAGTAAAAAAGTAAGATTCGTAATATTAAAATATAATCCTCAGATCTAAAATAATAAACGAAGCCTTGGTTCATATTATAGTATTGTACAATAAACAGTTTTGTTAATTGTACTATGTTTTGTCCGCATATGTCTAAAAATTTTCCTTATCATAATATTTTGCTTCTGTAGTTATCATTCAATGCCTTCTATCATTTTTCTTCTTTCGCAGGGGAGACCCTGGGAAAACAAAATGCTAGTTTCTCTCTTATATATTCAGTACACTAATATCACTTCTAGAAATCTTGGAGAGCCAGGACACACCAAAAAAAATATGACAACCTTACTAATCATTTAGTGAAACTTGATTCAAAAACTTTTTTGGGTTTCGCAGAACAAATAAGTTTAGTTGGCGTTTATATTCTTCGAATTTGTTGAACTTAAAGGTCAAAAAACGCTTGAGTGGTATTGACCTTTTGATTTTGTTTTTCCGCGGTCGTCATTAGTTTATTTCCTCTGCTTCAATAATGTATCAAATCACGTGTCAATCTCAATATATTACATTAAAATTGAAACGCGGTTAGAATTTTTAAATAATTTTAGAAACAATAAATGTTTTGGATGATAAATATTAATTAACAACGCAAAAGCCTACGATAAAAACTTTTTTTCTAAATATCATAAATGTATAGACTATATGTTTTATTATTGATATTAATGATAAGGAAACTACCTTACGGTGTATTTGAAGAAACAATTACTGAAAGTTTATATAGCAAAACTTGTTATTTCGTACCAAGTGAATGTACATTAGTATATGAAGCTTACATAATTTCATATAATTTCATCATAATTCAAAATTTTTGTTGTAAAAATATGACATTACAAAACCCATGTAGCGATAATTACTTTATTACTGCTATAGTGTACATTTTGTTGAAACATCTTAAGATATTTTTGTAAATGAATACATAGTAAAACATTGTTTTCTTTATTTTAAATCATACGATAATTAGAAATTTCAATATTATTTTAGTCGTATTTTATTGTTGCCACAAGTAACATTATTATTTTTAGTATTATCGAGCAATAAATAATCACAATTTATTGATATACAAATTTGAGTTTAATAGCCTCAAAATTCAATCACGTAGTCTGAACACAAAAAAATAAATTCTTATCTATCAAAATATTAAAATACTTTCCTTTAAACAACAAATTTTTTAGTCTGTTATTTTTTCAATATTATTACGATTGTATAAGGATAACTTTTATTTTTTGTTAATTCATGTACATCGTTACAAAGTGAACAAACCAACACATTTATTTAGTTGATTTAAAAAAATATTGAATTAAATTAATAGCAATTTTTTTGTTCAACAAACTGTCTTGTTAAATTAACTGAAGTCTGTTGACCGCAAAAAAAAAAGAGGTTTGTTGAAATGACAATTATTTTTCTGGGTGTGTGAACAATTAATAAATTGATCCATCGAGCAGCAACTATTAATTACATTTTTTTATTTAACACAATTCAAGCCACAAACCCATGGATACTCCTGTAACATCAGTTATGTTAATGATTTGTCTCATTCATGAAAATACTTTTTTACTCATTCACCATGTTTGCTTTATTTCATTTTTAAATAAAAAAAAGGATAAATATCTTATATTTATAAAGTATTATATATTAATGACACATTAAAATTACAAATGAAGTTTTAGATGTTATAATTTCTTCCTTAGAGAAATAATACTAATCAACTTATTTTGTTTAATATATAGAGTTCAGTAAGTAAGGAAACGGATTTATATTGTTCTCAATGTTTGTAGAAACTGACCTGTTTCCTTACTTACTGAACACCTTGTATACTACTACATAGATTTTACTGTGTCAAATTAGCAAATTAAAATAATTCGCATCAAATTTTGTCGCTAATACTATACATATTTAATAACGTTCAACAGCTATGCAAAATTATACAAACTTAGCGACTTCGATAGGTGTCTTGAGGAATCTAAGGGATTTTAACATTTTGTTTCTAAAATGTAGACATACTATTTAATGTGTCTCAGAGAAAGTACCATTTTGAAATAAATTAAATAAAAACTTTATATAGTTTTACTTGAAGTGACTTTTCATTGTGTGCTTTAATTAAGACATAAACGTCTTAATTACATTTTCTTATTTTGTTAGTAAAGTACTGATGACGGACATTCAAAAATTATTCTTGAACTCTTACTTCAAATATATTTAGGTAAAAACCATCATATTTATCTAAATATTTTTTTTTATTTAATTTCAATTAAAGAGGTTACATATTTTAAAAGAATACTTCACAATTATTTAAATAGTTTTAATATAAATTATTGAAATAAAAAAATACAATGTAACATTTTATAAAGTTACCATGTGAGTATCGATATAGTAGTTTTATAGAATCTGTTTCATGGCATATTTTAAAGAAAACATAAGTGAAATTTTTCAATGACAAAATTAACGCTAAAAAATGTTTATTAATTGAATTTAAATCTATAGTCTCTGAATAATAATCAATATAAATGTTTATTATTTCAATTTTAATATAGATTTGTTAAATAAAAACCATTTTTATGGTAAATCCATTTCGCAGAATAGATAAAAATGTTTGCTAATTAAATTTCTATTACATCATTATGCTTATAAACAGTTTGCACTTAGCGTTCATAAAAAGGAAATCATCAATTGAGCATTATACTACCAAATGTCACGATGGTAAAACAAGTTATTCACACTTCTTGTTTTAAATTAAACAAAAACTGGTAATTTAGCGAAAAACAGTTGAACTTGAAAAATACATAATTTAAATATGTAAGTAAACATTCAATACCGTTAATTTTATTTTTATCATATCCATGCTAAGTAGAAATTAGTTCAGAAAACCAATAAACAAAGAATCACAAATCTACTTTGAAAATATTGTAATAATACCTACTAATTTTTCATTGTTAATATCACACATTAGTATCGTGAAACATGCCTACGGTTCATATTAAAACTAAATACATTGTTACAAATACCTTAAACAATTGTTACAAAATGCACAATTACAAAAATAATTAACAGTAAAATATAAGGTAAATGAAAATTAGTGCTCATTCTAACAATAGAAATTAAATACTTAAAATGTGTGAATTCTTTCTCATCATAAGAGATGTCAGCTATTGTTTAAAGCTAGTTAGCTAAGAATTTGTTTAAAAAAACACGTGTATTCGCGTGCTTTATTAAATAGATGAGCAAGGGTCGGTCTGACTCATGATTTAACACCCTGAAACTTTAAAAAATTACCTGTGCTCTTTAATGATCACCTCGTAGTTATTTCTATTATCCCCTCGGCACTAATTAAGTACCAAAACGTTACTATTTAAATATCAACATTTTTATGATTCATTATTCTAATGCCATTTATGGTGTCATGAAAATGCTTTACTTGTGCATTAGTACACTTGGAATAATCTTCCAACTCAAATAATAGTTAGGCATGTGACTTTCAAAATTAAATATTTTAATACTTGACAAAAATGTACTTTCTATATTTAATAGTTTTTATTTACTTTTCCAGTATATTATATACGTAAATAAAGATAAATTATAAGAAACATTTCAAATAAATTGAAAATCGAGTTTTTGTTATATTTTAAACAAAGAATTTTTTTTATAATTAATTCCAATCCGTTTCGTCATAATTAACCTGTACGTCTCTATATGAGTTTTCCATTTGCAAAAATATGTATGTGAAAAAATGATTATTCTTAATTTTGCTTTTTTTTTTTACGAATTAGCTTAAAACGAAATAGAAAAAAGCATTTTTTTGAACACATGTTACTTTGCAACTGGACGTCTCATAAACTATTAAATGATATATTAATACGCCTATTAATCTTTTTTTAATTCATTCAGAGTTCTCCAATAAGTTGTTTACATTTTTTAACTTGTTCAAATTATAAACAATAATAAGTTGTAATATTTTTAACGTCAATATCTTTTAAAACTTTATTTTTATTTAAGCTACGTGAAATATTATACAAAAATATAAAGATTTTTTAAAACTGCTTGAAACAACAAATTTTATACATTAAAATAATATACTTAAAACTAGTTTTCATTCACCTTGAAAAATTAATGGTATTCTTAGGATATTTTTTTCATTTTCCATTAATTAATTTTCTGTAAATATTAATCATTATCGAAAACTAAAGTCTTCAAAAAAAGTTCCATTTTGATGATATGAACGGTCTATTCTAATATTCATTGAACAAATCTCTCTATTGATAATACTAGTACTCCGAATCTTCATAGTCACGAGTATTACTATCGTCCCATTATTGTTGGCATATAATCATCACACGTATTGAATGATAACTGCCAATAAATATTATCTATTAGTAGTAACATATTGTAATTTTTTTCCTATTTCGTTTGACGCTCTCAATAAACCACCGATAACGAAAGCATAAATCCACACAACTCAGACTTCAAGATAATTTAAGTAGCAGGCCGGCTACTTAGTTCAAGTGCAACTTTAGACCGACAGAGGCAACCGCACGCTGACATGACGACCGGCTGACAACGAACAATCCGCCCGCTCCTCTGTCGTACACCTCACTTCGTCCCTTCCCCGCCGACACCCCTCTGTTTAGGGACAAATTACGGGAGAGGCGGTTGCGACGCGACGGTGTCTGATGTACGTTGCCCGACTCGCTGAAACAGCCTAGTAGACGGCGCATTATGCGGGGGAGGGGAGGACGGTGGTGTGGTGTGTATTCCGCCGGTCCGACACGGCATATATATACGGCCGGCCGGCTCGCGGCGCGCTCAGTTTATCGTACGGCCGCTACCCGACTTGTGACGCGCTGTCTATATAAGTTTTTTGTATCCCAGCGGTACGCAAGTCAATTTCGTGAGTGTCTTCTTGGGGTGACCCGTACACATACATTTTTTTTTCATTATACATTTTCGTTTTGTAATCATTAGTTTATATTAAACATACATCAAAGTTAATTGTTTGTAATTTCAGTAATACTATCAGTTATTGCTGTCGTTGTCAATAATAATAGTAACAATTATTATCATAGTTATTTAAATCATACACAAGTCGTACGCGGCTCGTTGTAATTGCCAACTTTTATCCGATACGGATAAAAGTATTATTTTTGTCCGGATCTATTAATATTGTTGCCGTGGTGGAGCCCAATCGTATTGCTGTCGACTCATTAATAAATATTTTCTTTTGAAACATATGCACAGGAGATGTGAGTATACAACTGTAACTATTATTTAAAAAATAAATCTTGTAGTTTCTGCGTTTGGCCTTCGTGGGGTATATATGTGCGCAACACGGTAAATCGTTTTTCCCAGTGATCACAAGAGTCACGTGGTCTGCAAACCGGTACTATTCAGTTCTGGCGCCCAAAGTTTACATTTTCTACGATAAAATTTATGATGATGTTACGTCATTTATTACATTCGCAGTAAATAGACATAGTCAACACTGACTGGAATGTTTTACTTTCGTGGATGCGATTTTTTTGTCGCATCTATTAATAGAGAAAACGTTAGTAGCCTCATTTTGTCTACTGACAACACAAATAATCTGTCATGATATGATGGTTAAATGACTTTTTTTTGGAACATACTCTAGTAGTCCTAGTTTCTTTAGGCTGATATTTTTTTTTATTGGTACAACAGTTTTAGAACTTCAATATCAATAATTTTATCAGTTAATAAATTTATATTAGTTTTCTGTGTAAATATTATTTCTTTAACCGAATAACATGTTCTAATATTTACACGAGCAACTTATTTAAACTGCAAGAATTTGTTTTAAATTAAAAGAATTTTTTTCAATAAATAAATGTCAATCGAATTTGAGGTTATTAAAAAAAATAAATATCAATAAAAATCCTACACGCTTCTCGAAATCATATGATTTTGTTTAATTTTCTTAAATTAAAGGAATTTTAACTTCTTTCTTACTCTGCTATAATATAAAATCAATATTTCTTATGTAACGAAAATTAAATATCGATGTAATTTTTAGTTTGATTCGCAATAATAATAATATTAATCAAAAAAATAATAATCGTAGTATTAAAAAAAAACAATATGGTTTCTATTTGAAGCTAACCATCCAGTGATAATGTTATCGTTAATTATAATGTTTAATACGTTACCATCTGAATGAAAAATTCTATTACTAAAATTCAGTTTGTATTTTCTAAGTTTTTTTAATGGTGTTCATTTATCATATTCAAGGATAGCGAATGACCGATTATTGTTAGCATGCCGACCGCTTTTCAACGGTAAAGGAAAAAGGCGCATTAGAGAAATTGGTGAAAAAATGAATGAACGGGTAGTCTCGTATGCAATGTTCACTCAGTCTTAACTAGAATAAGGGGGAGGGTTGAGAGCAGTACCGCGAGACCCTAATTTTCAAGGTTAGACCACCCCTGAGGGTGCCAACAAAGGATTTGTTTCAGCGTGTCCTTTTTACCAGGAAACCATGCACCACAATGGTAGATTTATTTTCTATTATAACAACAAAATTTCATAACCGTATACTTGTTAGCTGCGATCCTCGTTCGTAGATCTTAGGGTCACCGACGACATCCCGAATGAATCTATTCAAAAGATCATCTTCGTGAATTCGATTATTTATTGCTAAAGTGCAATACCAGAAAAATAGATCATTCGATTTTTACCAAAACGCCATTGACTTTCGATCTTGATTATTTTTCAGGTTTCAATTAACTGCAGTAGGTAGCGAAGTATTACTTCAGTTTTTTTATTAATAAAACGCGGGCGATTTTTTATACACTTAATCTCGTTATAATTGGACTTCTGCGTTCGTTGAAGTATTAAAAATAACACAATAACAATGTATTTCGTTATTTTTAATTTTCTATATCCGTCTCTTGGATGACTATACGTGTATCGTTTTAGCTTTTTTAAGATAAATCGTATTTTATAGCAACGTGTCCGTACTATGTCAGGGTTTAAGTTTATTTGCAATATCAAAATACGGCTCTTGAACTCTTTTTTATTTGTAAACAAAGATACATTTGCGACGTTAAGTCTTAGAATATTTTCTGATTTATCCGCTTTGTTGTAAAACACAAACGAAACAATAAGTAAATTTAGCAGTTTACTACGTTTAGTTTTCTCACGTGATTTACTCGGTATAATTAATATGAATAAAATAAATATTTGCGCATTCGATGATAATGTGTACAATTCGTCTATTTCGGCGTTATTATGATTACTGCGCTTTACTTTTTTAATTGTACTACTCAAAATATATCGTTGTACAATCTACATTGTTTGATATTCATTTTTTAGTCTCATTTTGCAGAGCAGAGAGCGTATCGCGTATCGTACATAGTAATTTTTGTCAAAACGAGATTTTTTCATTTTAATAAGGTCGTACATTGTCATTGTGTTCCAGTAGGCTCGCCAATAAAAACTGCAGCAAATCCGAGAGTACAACGCTTAAAACATTAATTAACATACATAAAACTTTTTGTAATCGTAATGACTCGTGTTTCGCTTTATTTGTCCTTAAGCTATCACGATTGTATTGCGTGTGTGTTGTCCGCCAATTACCGCCCGGAAAACCCGGACAACTTTATACTTGTCATCGGCCGGCATACTATTTAAATTATGCTCATACGTGTTTTACCTTCGACCGCCTGACCCACTGTACCGTCACATGGTTTTTTTTTTTACGGCGGGCGCCCAACGATGATTTTACACAAATCGATTGTTAAAAAAAAAACACGAGTGTGTGGAGACGGAGACCGCCATGTGCGAAAGCGTGTTTGGCGTGCTCAATATCCCAAGCTGTCCGTTAACCATCGACTGGTAAACAATTAAAACTGTTGTCAACACTTAGTTGCGACAAGCGTTGTTTACATGTGGCCGAAGCCGGTCAAACAATTTTCCAGATGAATGTCCATCCCGCAACGACGTTGTTTTAGTCAAGGTCAAATACGGTCTGAAGTTTGACCTCTGTCGGCTAACGCGTCTCGGGTGAAAGTAGTCGTTTCTACCTCCTGCTCTGATTTATTTTTTGTTTACAAACCAATAAAAAATAACATCGCGTGTATGCATAGGATTCAAGTATCGTTAAATGCAAAACACCACGAGTATAGTTATGTCTGCTCTCATATTATTTATTACTCTTTTCTCCTGCACACCACCCGCAGTACTTTTCTGTCGTACTTGGAAACCGGTACGAACTCGTAAAACTCTCCGCCTTGTACCCTGCGAAATTTTAATTCAAGGTTGCCCGCAATACCCGTTTTAAAAACTTACTTGATTTAATAAAAACATCTAATTCTACCTCGACGACTTAGTACACCACATCAATTCGCCCAGTCGCACATACGCTTTCCATAACCTGTGTAATATAATGTACGTTCTGGGTGCGTTCACAATTATAACATGAGGGGAGTCAGCCTTGAATAAGGTTAAACTCCTCTCCCCTATTATTTATTTACGAATCGCGTGTTCTTAATTTACCAAAGGGTGTTTCGTTTTTGGGGTTTAGTTGAACCTGGGTCAATAAGTGCGCGTAGATCGATTTATGTGTTACTGTTTAATGTTTTTGCGATTTCGGCTGAATTCATTTCAATTTCTACAACCAAAACGAAATCTTCTAATATTATACTTAATGAACATGTATTAGATAACTCACGACTAATTCTAATGTGGTTTAGTTGATAATTTCGAAAGTAGTAAACTTTTAATGTACATTTTATTTTATTTTTCGTTAAATAAACATACTCGGGTACAATATCTTTTTTATCGTAGGGCTCATCGTGATTACAATTCATAACGTAAACTTTTTTCTTAATTACCTCTAATACAAATGAAAAGTGGGTAGTTTTTAATATTTTGCGGTGTAGTACAGTGGAAACAATAGTCATTTAAAAATTAAACATACTTATTTTTTATTATGTCATGTATGTACTTATAAATCTGGAATTTGTCTATTTGATTTGCTCGACTCGATGAATTTGAAAAAGTGACTTTTACGGAGGTTATATAGAATATATTTGTCACGCTTTTTCTTCATACTCCACTGGTACACGCTGTCTGTAAGCTGTTTACAAACACATAACAATTTTCTAGTGACGTGTAAATAAGAAAAATTCAAAAAGTTTCGAAAGTGTATATGACTTTTTGCGCGTTGGAAAATTAGGGTCAACAAACTTAATACCACACAGCATAGAATTCGCAGAAAAACAAAAACACAAATAAAAAAAATATCTGATTCAAAATACAATAAAGCACTATAATTTCAGTGAAACCTATTTGACGGAAAACATTCTTAATATAATCTTAAGATCCACAATAGACAACATTCAGTCTTGTGTGCTAAAAAATTTAATTGTGTTTTATATTTATACACTTAGACTCAAAATATTAATAGTGCAAACACTGTTAAAGACTCTTGCGTCAAAACTAATTTAACCTGGTATTATTTCTTTAACGTGGGTTAGAAATTTACAGTAGGTTGATTATAAAGACAATAAGGAAACCCCAAAATATTTTTAAAAATATTAATTAAAATAGGATGATATACTATTTTAAACAACTTTTTGAATGTCTGATATAATCAAAATGTAAAAGTTTAAGCTAAACATGAATTATGTGTCTTAAAGACGACTGAAAATATTCTTTTGCGGAGATTTTTTCAACCCAAAACGTGTGTTTTGTAATCACCAAACAAATCGTTATCTCAAGCTTGAAAAACACATTTTATTCGATTTATTAAAGTATTAGGTTATTGAACTGTAGTACTAAAATGTTTGGAAAAAAAATTCAACGCCACATTTCAGTTCCAAGTATTGATGATTTATTAAGACCAAACTGATATCTATAGAAACATTTTTTCGCAACTTCAAAAAATAAACTTTGTTTATCACCACAAATAAATAATTAAGTTTTTTTACATTATTTCCCGTTGTTGATTAAATTCGGAGTATTCAATATAACAAGTTTGTTTTCCAAAAATGATTAACTTGTTTTTCAATAGCCAAAACTCAGTTATGTTTATTCGAATAGTCTTCAAATGACGAGTAATTGTTTCAATTGTAAATGGAGAACACGTTTACAAATGGCATTATTCTCGTATTTTATTGTATTTTTTTGCATTATTAAAGATTCACATGCATACACTAACTTATTCTGTCTTTATATATTTAGTAGTACGCATGTTGAAATTTAAGCTCGAAAACGAGGACATTGGTAGGATAATATGTATAACATTTTCCTAGGAACATTCTTTAAAAAGCTTGTGTATTACTCAAGGACCATTCAATGGTTACGTGTCTCATTTTCATAATTTTACTACCGAAATAAATATTAATATGTAATTCACATCGCCAGACGATGGCTTGATGTATCAAACAATGATTATGATTATACAAAAATTTTACTATCATATCACACCACATGCGTGGGTTAGAATCCGGTCAATAGGAGTTCGTTTTATATTGTAAAATGTCAAATTGTACTAAATAAGCAAATTTGGGACACTTTTGGCAGAATACATTTGTTACTTTAAACGTAGTTTACATCCACTATTTTGATGTTTAATAAATTGTAATTTAAAACATGTAATTTTTTTTAATACCTGTAAATGTTCAAAATATTTTTTATTTTAATAAAGTAAAACAGTGTTTTTAGTTCATAATAATAGTTAAGTTAATCTCAATTTCATTTGGCTGCTAGTTGTTTAGATTAAGTTGTTTTGGCGGATATTGCTTAGTTAATTTTGGGTAATTTAAAGTTAATCGATTATATACAAAATTGACTTTCAGATCATAACTATGAAATTTGGGTTTTAAATCATAAATGAAGTATTTATAAGCATGTTTAATGTTAAAATTAAGCATATAGATAAATGAATTGTAAATAAATAAGTAAAATTCCATGAATAAGTACTAATGGTATCATTAGTAGTCATTTGTTTAAATGCTTAATGAATATTTTAACCTTGTAGTGAATATATAAATAAACACTCAACACAAATTTTTTCGGAGTAACAAGATTTAGAACACTACCCCTTGGATTATAACTAAACTTAATGCAATTTGTATTCAACAAAAAAGCTTATTTACATATTTTATTAGAATAATCAATAGTTATCATAGATATTTTAACCAAGTATTTATTTTACACTCAATATTTAGCGATTCAAAACCACTACAACTGTTAATAATTAAGCTGCATATGACACTTAGCTTTTTATTCTAATCTAAAGTGTTGAATTAAATATCAACAAAATAACCATTGACCACTTATGGAATAGAAAATTTTCGTTTTATTTATCAATACATTGTAAAACTGCTGATAAAGACTTAAGTTTGTCGTCTAATATAGTTAGTAATCAAAATTAAACAGTTCGTTGATAATGTAAAGGAAAACAATGTTATTTTCTGTTTAAATAAATCAACACGCTGCAAATACGATTGTAGCCGATCATCAGCTGTTTAGAGAACTGAACAAGTTTTGTTGAGAAAGAAAAAGTAAACTAATAAAATACGGCTTGGTAGGTTTTAACGAAGGTCTTTAACAACGAAAGTATATTATGTTTATCTTACACCTACTTTTGCAGAGTTGTCGGCCTCGCGGTAAGACTTTTATTCACGCGGTTCACTGACTCATGAACTGTTGTTAATAATTTTATTTCTGCTGTTTGATTGTCGTCTGCGATTGAATAATAATTGTATTATTCCTCAATTGCGACCGCCGCCCGTCCCCAAGGTTTTTTTAAAATAAACATTATGAATAAATTTGCTAAGTGACATCACAACGGGTGGGTTTTAGTTAAAATGGTCACCGGCAGCATCTCTTAGTACCTATTCTAAGTTCATCGTTTACCCGTTAAAGATGTACAACGTAAAATGTGTTACTCATTTTATTTCTATTTCATTTTTATGCAATTTTTTAGTCGTTAAAAATAAAAAAGGTTAATGTGAATTAAAATTTACAACCATAACTATAACTTCAAAAATGTTAATATTTTATTATTTCATGAGTATAAATATATTAATTCTATTGAAACTATAATACATCAAAAACGCTCTAAAAGTTCTTTGGTATTCAGTGTATAGACTTAACACAAATCAAAATCTAATATCTTTTTGCATTCAGTATCCCAAGATTAATGTATAATTAGTGTAAAATGCGGTCTAGCGTGGCATCTATTAGATTAAAATTCTATTATAAATCTGATTACATTCTAAAATATTAAGTGAATAATGTATTGTACTAGGGGTTCTATGTATATATTTGAAGATTAATTTCCACAAGTCTACAAGAGAATGCATCTTATTTTTATTTAAATTACAATAAATAAATGTTATCTTTATGTTTTACTTTTTATATATCTAAGCCTCTTTTACCCAATACTACAAAAATTATATGAAAATTTCCCATAGTAAGAATTTTATTCCGATTTATTAATACCATTTGTCGAGATTAATCTTTTGAAATTAGCTTTTATATTTAGCATTTTATAAACAAAATATACACTTGTATACTTGTANTGCATCTTATTTTTATTTAAATTACAATAAATAAATGTTATCTTTATGTTTTACTTTTTATATATCTAAGCCTCTTTTACCCAGTACTACAAAAATTATATGAAAATTTCCCATAGTAAGAATTTTATTCCAATTTATTAATACCATTTGTCGAGATTAATCTTTTGAAATTAGCTTTTATATTTAGCATTTTATAAACAAAATATAAGAATAATAATTACACTTGTACAATTGTTCAATTATCGTACAGCAAACAGAAAATCGAAAGACACACGTAGTATTTACATTTAGTTAATTTTAGATAAATATGTATAAATTACACTTATTTGTCTGTTTAACCATTCTTTTATGATCTGTGACAAAATAGTAGTTCATGGTATGATAATTTAATGCGTTTGAATAGAGACCTTCTTAGCATGTCGAAAACTTGAAAATTGCTTGTCCTCGATGTATCTTGCACATTAAATTTTCATTCTTCATATATTGAAAGGAATTATACATAACACTTCCTTATGTAAAAAATGTATATAATAACAATTTCTGTGCTTTTAAACAAATAGTTTTTAAAATATTATTTGTTTAAATAACTTTGTTCATACTTGCAATCGCAAAATTCTTATTCGAAAACAAGTTCTTAACTTTTTGTTTATTATCTCAAAAAAAAAAAAAAAAAATAGTATTTAACTAGAAGCTGAATTTTTAAATATTATTATAATTCTAGATATTATTGCAGTTTTATAATGGAAATAAAGCGCACCCTGTAGATACATTTTATGCTTCTGTTGACATAAAATTTGTTTTTTCAATATTGTTTCATTAGTAAATATAATATATGTCTAAGAGTAACTTTGTAATTATATAACAAATTTAAATATGAGATTTTGAAATACGAAATTCATATAAATGAAAAACTTTGATCACTGAATAAATTTTTGTTTTCTTTAACCCATCAAAAAGAAAAATTGATAAGAAATTTATTTTATCGCGTGGCTTGTTTATACAATCATGTAAAGCAACAGAAGTTAGTGCGGTAACCATTTAACCCAAAAATGTTTTCTGTTTAATCGTTTTTATAATTTCTTCATTTTTTTCAGTGTTCATACATTCAGCACAAGACAGTAGAAATGACAGACAGCACGACACATAATAATTACAACATTTACAGTTGTGCTCCAAAAAAGGATTTAAAAAACCAACACGTAAGTTGAACATTACAATTGTATTTGCTCACATAAAATTGATTGAGGTCTCTTTAAAAGCAATCACAAGTACAAGGAAATTAACTGATAATCGTGCAGATTAAAAATATTATGTTTGTAGTGCCGTACAATTTTTACATTTATCTTGTCTCAATAATATATTCACTCGATTAATGATATAAAATAATAATCCCCAAAGCCGCTTATCATGAAATATAAAGACATTTTGAGGTGAGCGACTATTCAGCTGACTATCTTATTTTAATTTAATTATATTTATTTTTTTATTAAAATAAAATTCTATTCAATTTATTTAAGTTTTCAAACATTTTTCAACTATATCGTATCGTTGAGGTCGTGAGTTGAAGGTTTGTCCGAGTGCCGCCGCCGCCACCATAACATTGTCCTTTATAACGTCAGCAAACATGCCAATAAAAAAAACTAATACCGTCAGCCTTGATCTACTCTTTATCTTGTGTTTTTCACGCGTAGGAAACTTATTCAAACTCATTAGCAAACCATAGTTCTACTGTCATTACTAATTAATAGAGATTTCCCTTTTGTTGCGTTTCTTTTACATGTTAATAAAGATTGATTCATTTGTTCGCCCCATGATCGACCTAATATAGCACAGTTCGCCGATAAAAAAGTAAATTACCATGGTTTCAACCGTCTCACCGTTTGATAGATAAGATATTTCATCGACTACATATGAATTTATTTGCAACATAAACTATTTGTATATGTAAACGTAGCGTCTGAAACGTATTAATGGCATTCGATGACGTTTCGTTTGAGGTATTTGCCACGAAGAAAAAAACAATTAACATGCGAAATGTATCAAATATATAACTGTATATAATGCAAGCAGTCATAAATTTACTTGAATAGGTTTTTCCTTTTTTTATTACTTCAAATGTGAACGATAATATTCGAATCGTTTCTCTTTTTATTATTTACGGCCAATGAATTTTTGTATTTATGATATTCAAATTAATAAAAAAGAAATCTATTGTTTTATTTGACCCATGTTCGTTTGACACAACAGTATTAATGTTGTACGACCAATTAACATAACATTTAACACATTGTGCGATTCATGATGAATGGATATCGTAGTAGGTTTTTCTCTCGTCTGATAATAATTATAAACGATGCCCTAAATACAATTCAATATTACAATTATCTTATCTTATAATGTGTATAATATGCAAAATTAAACCATATGATTTTAAATTGGCAGTTAATCGCGGGTTTTCCTTCAAATCATATTGGCTACCAAAGGTGACCAGCGTAATTTTTCTATGTATGTAGCGCCTTTTTAATAGTTATCAATTTTCTTATTAAAATTAAAAATGAAATTCCATTGAAAAATAAAACTGACGTTCATACACTAAGGTGTGCGCCTAGTACTCGGTGTTATTTGCAATGTTTTCGACATAAATCTGTCTGTTAAATTACCCACCCCAACCCTTACCGGTAAAAGGTTACCCAAATGAAAACTCGTATTGGCTGCGATAGTGACTTTAACGATAATACACCCAAAAGTCGTTTATCCGAACCGTGAACACATAATAGGTAAATATATTAACGAATCTAGTCGCGTATCAATGACATACTTTAGGCTGCCGAAGAATAATATAATCGCATTTCTTGCGTCGTTTTATGTCGTGACTTTCGGACGTTTCTGTGCGTTTGTACACGCCAATCCAATTAAATTAGTGCAAAATTTATTAAGTTATCTCCCGGAATTCTTTCCTCGGCCGCCTTTGTTTTTCCATCCTTTCGAACACACCCGAGGTAATCCCACGTGATGTTACTTCAAGTTTTTTATTATTATTATTATTATTATTACTACTACTTTTAAGTTTTTTTCCCCTAAATTTAAGCTAATAATGCATTCGGAATGCATCGCCGTATAAACATCTGAAGATTTAAAATATCCAAGTACAAAAAATTGCAGTCGAAATTCTGGTACATAAAAACTAAACGTCAAGGTCAAGGTTTTCCTTCGTAACTTATTGAATATAAAATAAATATATAGAATATTCATGTAGGTTTTTTTTTTTGAAAAACGTACTAGGAAACTCATGTGTTAACAAAGTACTGATACAACAGACGTGTGTTCAGATAAGAAACTAAGATAAAAACGTAACACTTGCTGTACTATAAGTGTATACCTGAAATCCGTCTTTTCGGGGTTATCAAAAAAACCGCAACGGTCGCCGTTAAAAGGCCGATCGCATATTCGCCAACAGCTCTCGCCTATTAGTTTTCAAACTGACAACGTTTGAGTTGAGCGTTCGTATGCGTGAGCACTTTGTTTTGCTATAGCTGTACATCCATCACATTTTTTGTATACCTATACAGAACGGATGTCATGTTATGACACCTAGTTGAAGATAAAATTAGTAATTAGTGGTGTTTTTTAACAGGTGACCACCACGATGGACGGTTACGACAACAAAGGAATGCTAAGATCTGAATTGGATATAAACGGAAAGCCCGTCAATGGAGTTACCAGGTAAGCGTCTTGCTACTGATGGATAACGATTATGTGCTGACACCCGACAGAATTCCGCGTTAGGTGTATGAATAAATGTATATAACCTAGCTAAAAAGTAGGTAAACCGACCGGTATCTTTGCCGCTGTGTATCCGATTACTTATACCTAAACAGTTTACTGTAAAAACCTACCGCCTAATGAACTCGATTTCAAAGTTTAGCCGTCCGTTGCGTTAGCAAAATGCCAAGTCGACGAAATAATCCTACTCGGCTTACACATTAAACGACCGAGAAACGGCAAGGTAGTGTTTGCTGATATAGATAAAATAATTTTTATAGTATTTGATTTCAAAATGAAGTTTCATCTTTATAAGTTCAACACGATATCGAATTCTGATCGAAAATGACGACTTTATTATTTCCAAGATTTTCAGCTCGTGTACCAACAACACATCAATTAAGTTGTTTTGTACTATTACTATTATTATCACACATATTGACATAGTAGATTACAAAAAAAATAACAGATTATCCAATGAAATTTGACTGCCATTAAAATTGTATAAATACTGAACTTTTGCTTTCAATCCGAACTATACCCATAAACAACTCGTGAATAATATAAAAGTTCATTTAAATGGCATTGTTAATTATGGTAGTTTGTACTACAATAGATTAAATTCAAATATTGCCTAAAACGCACTGTAAAATTATTAGAACAAAGTGTAATTGAGAGATGTACAATTAATTGCTATTAATTTCTATAAATATATTGTTTTCCTAGTCTTAAAACAAAAACACAACAATATACCGATTCGATTTTTTCTCAATTAAATTTTCATATATTTTATCAATAATATTGTAGTATTAAATGCGAAAATCTTTACTTTTAGATTTGACCTTCAGTTGTTAATTTATTTCAGTCAATTTTTATATCATTGCAAAAATAGTATGTAATAGAAATTAAAATTGATAATTTCTTTTAACTAAATTTTACTTTATAGATCACTTCAAACGGAAAATAACTTCATAGTTTCTCATATGTTGTAGTGTTGATTTAACTTCAATTTATAAAATTTAAATTTCTAAGAAGTTGAAATAAACGGTATTTTTTTTGCAGCTAATTGATTTATGACCGAGCATAAAGTAAATAAAGACTAATCGAGTATAGTAAAAGTCAACAAAATATGTTTAAATATCAATTATGTTAAGTATTTAATCTTTAACAGTATCAATGAGAATTATTTGTATACAATTAGCACTTTATAGCGGCTTGTATTAATACTATTTTGTACCGATAGTCATTTGAATAACTACAAAAAATTATTACATTTTTCTTAAAAATAGTATAATTTATTTAAATACATTTCTTTCTTTTTTTATTTTAGCATTAATATGGAAAACTTAAGCAAAGTAATAGTGCTTAATACATCTTTGACAAACGGCCAACAACCACCGAGTGAAAAACCAAACTTCTATAATCCGTACCAGCATCGAGATGTAAAACATCCTACCTCGTAAGTATATTCATTTTTTACTGAAATTTAATAGTTACCATAATAATTATGTGTTAATTTGGAGTTCATAATTTACATTCTCTATGATCTAGTTCAGTTAAACGTATAACTTAATAATTCTATCAATTCCAAACTTTTATGTCAATAACCATATTTTTGTGTTATATAGGTATTTTGACACTTTGATACATCTTTTAAAGGCCAGTCTTGGTACTGGCATATTAGCCATGCCCAGCGCATTCCGAAACGCCGGTTATGTAGTGGGCACGTTGGGTACCATAATCATTGGTATTTTATGTACATACACGATACATTTATTGGTAACTATAAATTAAAATCATCTGGTACCAACAATGACTACTGAAATTTGATTTAACCGCATTCAAATATGTGTTTCTTAGGTTACTTCGTCGTATGAACTTTGTGTCAAGAGGAAAGTACCTAGTTTGACATATCCAGGCTGTGCGGCTGCAGCATTTGAAGAAGGTCCAAAAATGACCAGAAAGTTTGCTCCGTTTGCTAGGTAAAATTTTTATAGGAAATATATAAGACCATTCATTATTACTCTATAGTTTCAATCTAATAAATTGTTTTATTTTATAGATTTATAACCAAGTTGTTCCTAGTTTTATACCAAATCGGTTCCAGTTGTGTGTACATAGTATTTATAAGTAGTAATCTTAAAGCGGTAAGTGCAGTCTCACACTTGAAATTTTCAAAATAAAAATATTGAATATTTGTAAATTTGTATTTTAAAATGTTTGTTTTATGTTTTTTACAGATAGCTGACAATTATTCCAGTGATTCTATTGACATCAGAATGTATATGGTGTACATGATCGTTCCGTTAATATTAATTTGTAGTATACGTAATCTTAAACTTCTTGCTCCATTCTCTTCAGTGGCCAATTGTTTTTCATTATTAAGTTTCGCCTTAATATTCTATTACATATTCAGAGATCTTCCATCGCTTAGTTCACGAGAACCCGTTGGTACTATTAAGAGCATACCACTTTTCTTTGGAACTGTATTATTTGCAATGGAAGCCATTGGCATGGTAAAAAAAAATTTATATTGAATAAGATAATAATAATTAAAAATTTATGAAATCACCATTTATTATTTTTAATTTGATTTTGATACTTTAAAGTAGTATTAAAACAGTACAATTATACTGTAATACAATATAATTAAAATATTAATTTTGAATACTTCTTAGATGCCACATATATTTATAATGATAAATAGAATGTCAAAAAAAAGTATTTATATGTTTAACTTTAAATATGATTTGCAGTTAATAAATATCATTTAATTTATTAGCTCATTACAGTTATAAAATTAATATTAATTTTTGATTATTGAATGTACATTGAAGTTTTATATTGACAGTAAAACATTTAAATATTATAATTTCCAATTTAAATATAACAATTGATAAAGAGCAATTTGGAACTCGCATTGAGAGTACCACTAGTAATCAGAGTAAAATCTTTTTTTTGAGATTTATTGGACCTTAGATATAAATTTTTTAAGAATAGCTCACCAGAAAATAAAAAATTAGAGATAAATCGTTTTAAAATTGAAAATATACAATTATTAAGATTATAAAAATATACAATAATTTAAACTATAACTGCAATTTATAATTTTATTATTGTGCTTTTAGGTATTACCATTAGAAAACGAAATGAAAAATCCCAAAAAATTTGGAAGTGTATTTGGTGTTCTCAACGGCGCCATGGTTCCCATTACTCTTCTATATACTTTCATTGGATTCTTCGGATACTTAAAATATGGTGAAACCCCAAATGGCAGTATTACATTGGATCTGCCATCAGCTGAAATGTAAGTATTACACTGCTGTAATAATACATATCAATATTTTAAAATAACTTTTACTTTATAGACTTGCTCAATTAGTAAAGCTTATGTTATCCATCTCAATTTATATCTGTTATGCTCTATCTAATTATGTGGCTTTTGATATTATTTGGGAAAGTTTAGAATCCAAAATGGAGAAAAATGAATACAAAATCTGGTGGGAATATGCTCTTAGGATATCCATAGTTTTAGTAACATGTATGTATTTGCCTCATTGTATACTTTAATTTAATTTAAAATATTCATCAATACAAGTAATTATAACTAAATTTTTATTATTTCAGTCTTTTTGGCCGTAGCTATACCAAACTTGGAACATTTGATTTCGTTAATTGGTGCTTTTTGTTTATCAACTGTGGGCATAGCACTACCAGCAATCATTAACTTCTTAACATTCCTGAAAGTATACAGGAAAGAAGGATACATACGTTTAAGCCTGTTTATACTGAGAAATTTCCTTATTGTGCTAATTGCCATCTTTGCATTCATTATTGGAGTGTCAACCAGTATTAAAGATATTATTACCCATATGGAGTGATCACTTCAAGGGTGAAGTTTGTTTTGAATAACAAACAACAAGATTAATACTGAGCTACCGTTTGGTCGTGTTGGATGGTTCTTTTTTAAATTAGTGACCTATCATTGTTATTATTTTTATTATTATTAATATTACTTGGTCGCATATGCGAACCCATATAATTTTTTTAACAACTAAAAACAAATCAAATTCAGTATTTTATCACTTTTGATCAATGATCATATAATTTCAATGAATTTTATTATGTAATTTTACCAGTTCAGTATTTCCCATATAAATTTATATAATTAATAATAATTATTTAATTGGGTAAGTTTTAACATATTTTTGATAGAATTTTCACTGATAAAAAAGAAATAAATACATCACAGGATATCCCTGTTTGTTTTTATGCTCTACAGAGATAACAGATCTCCGATAGCCTATCCATATCTATTTTATATACATGTATGTATATTATATATTAATCATTTGAGGTTCATAGTTGGTTTTACAAAGACAGTTATTTTTTATTAAAGAAATTTTTTGAATATAGATAACTCTGTGGACAAAAAAGACTACATATAAATATTTTGCACATTTATTTTAAAGTTTAGAACTATTAATATTTTAATTACTACTCAATATCATTATTAGCGATCAAAAGTTTATATTAAACAATATTCAAAATTTAAACTAATCGCATTTTCTTTTATTGATTTTTTAACGGCTTAAACTAATTTTAATACAACTAGTTTATATATATATATATATTATAAACATTCCTTCTCATTTAATAAATTTAAAAATTTAAACTGTTTTTTTGCTCAATATGAAATATAATATGTGTACATAGTATACTATTGACAGACATGGATGCTAAGTCATAGAGGTTTTGTTATTTACATAATAATTGTAACAAGTTAAAAAATAATTGTATTTTTTACCATTAGATATTATAATTTCTTCGAATTAATTATCAATTGATACTTTATTGTGATACAATTAAACTAACTTGTGGTATATAAATTTTGTATATGTATATAAATATAAATATTTATATATATATATTTATTTATTTATATATTGTATACAAAAAGAAATAGTTTTTTTTAATTGCATGAAAATATTACTTTAGTTGATAATAATTTATTATTAATAGACAAAAATTTATATATATATATTTTATAATATAAAGTTGTAATATGAATAATACATGTAAATAAACTGATTTTTTTAAACAGAATAACTATTACATTATGTATTTTAGACTGAAAATTTAATAAAACAATGCATACTAACTAAAATCAATAATTTATATATAGAACATTAACACACAAAACACATCTGTAATAATATAAAATATTTAATAATTAAATAAAAAATAGAAATTTATATTAATTATTATTTGCAAATAATAAATTGTAAGCTGTAAATTATTATTAATTGACCCATCTCAAGCAGAGTTAACTTTATATTTCAGGGAAAAAATAATAATATCAATAAATAATATAATAAATCAGTACTAGCCACCTAACTTAATATTTTATATTATCATGATTACTTTAATAACGTTTTACGCAAAACACTAAATTATTGATTTATGATATTTTATTTTCTCTTGTTTAAGTTAATATATAAACGGTAATTCAATATAATAACTCTTGTATCATAAAAACCCAAATTATATCTAGTTAAATTTCTTAACTCAAAAGAAATATTACATTTGTATAAAAGGTATTACAAAGTTGAAAACAGTTTTCTTTCTTTTATTTCTTTAATATGTATTTTAATAACTCTAATGTATAACCTATCCGATAACTAAAAACGGCAGACAAAGCTTAACTTTTGAGATTTACAGCATCTGATTCACTACACTACACCCCTTATTTTATCATATCAGATTTTTAAACATTAAAATATAAAATACTAAATTATAAGCTATAAAATTTCACAAATTAATTTTTTTTTTCAGTATTTATTTATTTGAGACAACCTTGAGGTCTTATTCAAAATTAATCACTAACATTAGCAACTAAAATTTCATAAAATGCATAGTTAAAATATTGTACATAATGATGGAGGGAAATTTCCAATAAAGAGTCTCCAAACCTATATACTAGTAAAATTTTCATTAATCAATATATATTTACAATTAGTCATAAACTTTAATCCGTTTTACTCTTGTGGCATCTTGAGAATAATCAAGAAGTTGAGCTGCAGCTTTGTTGACGTGGGGGTTCAGATAATTTTCATGTGCCTTGTCGTACTATTGAATTTCTTTTCTGGGGTGGTTGGTATTAATCATATCCTTGTTAATATGGTCATTTCTTTCGTACATATAAGCATTGGTAATAGTACGGAGAGTACTATTTTGCATAGTTTGAATTTTATCAATCCAAGACTGCTAATAAGTCACACAATAAGTCCCCACAGTTGGATACAATAAGTCGATAGTGGTTTTAAGATAGATGCATAATGTAGTCTTTTGTTTTCTATTGAAAGTTATAATTATAATACTATTTTCTTAAAATAAAAAAAAATTGCTCTAAAATTTATTTTGATTTTTGTATATATTTTAAAAATATTGAATTTAAAAATTATATTTTGATAAGCGCAATAAGAACATAATATTTGAGAAATCGAACTTATTTTCTAATTACAAATATTTCTATATTCAGGTAATTTTAATAACTTTTAGAAAACTAAGCTCCCTTAGATCTTCAGATTGTACCTATGAATATTTTTTATACATAACATAAAAAAAAACCCAGCACAGGGGGGTCGCGGCACAGTGGTGACGTGGCATAGTTGGAACAAGTATAATGATATCTGACAGTGATTAAAATCACTATCAAAAAAAACGCTTCGATGCAAATCTTTAGATAGTGTTTAATTTAAAAAAATTGGTGGATTATTCCAAAAGCTACATGATCTGCTATTTTCTTATTAATATCCTGAATGAAAAAGGAATTATTAAAAAATATTATTTCTCATGAAAAAATTATATTGATCCATATATTTTTTAAAAAGTTATAGCATTTTAAAGTAAAAAATGTAAATTATAAAATCGAGAAATTTCACACAAAAATAGCATTTGGTAGCCATTTTCACCACGAAGACAAGTCCAGAGGTCAAATTTTTTTTTTCAAATTAAAGTATATTACATTAGCTTTAATTTAAGATATATATAAAAGTGTCAGACCTTCCGGAACATTTTCAAAAGCTAAGTTGAAAAAGTTGTCATTTTAAATCCCCCCCTGTGGGCAGGTTAAGTGTCAGATTTACAAAAAATATATACCAAATGATAGATAAAGACATCAAGCGTCTATAAAAAAAAAAATTATATTGATATGTTCATTTTTAAAAAAAGTTACGGCAGTTTTTATTAAAAAAAATTGAAAAAATTTAGAAAATTAGCGATTTTTAAATTTGTAATTTTTTTGGAGGTTTCCCCTATTTACGAGGAACGAGGGAAATTTTTAAAATTTTTGAGGGTAATGTCTTAGACTAGATACGATTTGTGATCTTTTGACGTATCGTTGAAAGAAATCTGTTCGGTAAGAGCTGAGAAAAAGTGGTAACAGACCTAAAAAAAATAAACACATCTTAGTAAAACCAATTCCTTCGCAGCTTCGCATCGAAGCTAAAATAATACAAATCAAACAATTTTATCAATAAATATACTTTTTAATTCAACCAATTATAATAATAATAAAAAAGTCATTTGCGGCCAATATATATTCCAAAATAATTAAAAATAATTCAAATACAACAATTCTTTGAAAATCAAAAAATTCAAAATAAGTTAAATTTTTTAACTCTCCATTACATAAATCAAATTTTTTGCTTTTAAGCATCGTCTAAAATAATCCTAAATAAAAACAGTAGCACAGTAGGGTCATGGCATAGTTGGGTCAAGTAAAGATGATATCTGACAGTATTTAAAATCACTATTATAAAAAATTCTTTCGTATAAATCTATAGATAGTGTTTAATTTTATGAAATTTATGGATTATTCCAAAAACAAAATTAACTCTGATTTCCTTATTCATATCCTGATTACAAGTTATATGATTAAGCTTAAACATTTTACTACAGAACAATAAACAATTTTAAATTTTAAATATTTAGAAATTATATCAAATAAACTAGTCATTAAAAATGGTAAAATAAAACGTACTAATTCAAGTACTCATAAGTATCCTTAGACAATTAATAAAAGTTAATACATAGACAAATATTGACTATATATTTTACTATGTTATAGATTTTTCAATCATTATAATGATTAAAAAAATCATTAAGAACAATAAAATTTACTGATTAATAATTTAAAAAGTATATGTTTAATTATATTTAAACATACCTTAAATTTTTTTGTAGTTCAATAAAATTATTCAAGGTTATTTATAAAAAATATACTTGCACATCTGTTTAAAAAGTTTCTTATTAACTTATTTTTATCATTTGACCTGTAGCTACTTTAACAATTATAACAATTTTATATTTTACTAATGAATAATAAAAGTAATTTTTTTTATTGACTTTTTTTAGAATAACACAAATTAAAAACACTGTTGTATACTTGTGATCATTGTATAAGGTTCAGCCCTTTAATAAAAACATAAATTTCCATAAATTACCAAAAATAAAATTTTAATGAAGTAAAATTTTATTTTTAGTAATTATTTAAAAAAAAAGGTGTGTAACTCAGTAATATTCCAATATAATATTATAAATTATTTATTAATAAAAAGTTTGCTGTAATATGATTTTAATTTTCAAAATATTTCGAAATTAAAGTTACTTTATTCGCTACTCGGTAAGATGTTCAATAAATTTTCTTTACATAAAAAAAAACAATGAAATATAATCTATACCAATAAAATATACTTATACAATCGTTAATTGCACTTTTTAATCTAAAGTAGTATGTGAACAACAAATTAAATTTTTAAAATCAATCAAAAATATGAACTTGACATTCTTTATTATTCAATCGGTATTTAAACGAACAACGACGAGCAATCACTCATTTCTAAAAATTATTTATTGAGTTTAGTTGTTTTTAGTTTTTTTTAATTTTAATATGGTTAACTTAAATGAAGTAACTATTCTCAACTCGGTTTTAATAAACCTTCAAACAACAAAAGAAAAACCAAACTTCTACAATCCACACCATCATCGAAATGTAAAACATCCTACCTCGTAAGAATTTTATTATTATACTCGAACAACGGATTAATAACACAATAACATATATGCATAATTTTTTATCATTTCCTTTAGTGTCAAAAAACATTTGACGTCAAATATATACAAACAGATTCTTTTTATAATCCCAAGCTTCACGAAATATCTTCGATAGTATTAGAGTTAATCATTATTTTATTTTTTCAACAATTATGGTTCTTTGTTGAGCTACTTTACACGAATAATTAATTTTCCACTACCATCTCTTAAAGCCTAACCCGAATCAATTTTCGATTTTCAATTCACAACTCCATTAAATTACGTCATTAAATTTATTCAATTAAAAAAAATTACCTTATTCAATCTATTTACGAGTTACAGCTGTTTAAAGTTTAAGAGTGATAAAAAAAAACCTTATTTATTTTTTAAAGACTGCAACATTATCATCTGACGTACATTGGATAAACGCAACAAGTTCATAAAAATACGATAAACTGTTAATGTATATTCATTGCATAGCTATGATCCGGTAGCCCTTATCGATTTATATGTATGAATAAATAATTATTTTTTCTTCAACCTTAAACTTAAATAACTAGTAACTCAATGAGATTAATTTTTTCTTGTATAGTACTCAAAAAAGAATTATTATTGTTGCGAAAAACGATGGTAAACTCTAGTGACGAAGTTAAAGAATCATCTATATAATTTTAATATTACAACAAACCATTGATCAGAAGCCCGTTGGCAAAGGATAACTAAAATTTTATTATTTTTCTGTGAAAAAAACTTGAGATTATTTAATAGTTAAGAAAATAGGAATTACTAAACAGCAAATACAATTTTGTCTCAAAAAAATCCATCATGTCAATAGCCATAGGTATTGTAACTCTACTACACTTGTGTGATAACAATAATAACACTACAATTTATGATTGATGAATTGAGGGAAATATGAACCTCAAATATACCAATAATTTCTCAATATCATGATAAATAAATCACTCTTTAAGTGTTATATTTACTATATAGATATAATTACATTATTAAACCACCCCTTCTGCTAACGAAATAAAATTTCTGATTCCACTGATAAAAAAATATAGAAATTCATAAAAAAAAAAATTATTGAAAATAAATAATTACTTTAGTTTAAGTAAAATATAAACTATTTAAAAAAAATTTTTATGAAATTTTAAATTATTTTTATGTTGATAATTGTACGTCGTATATTCTTTCTACTTAAGTGTTCATAATCATTATATACATTTTACAGGAATTTCGAAACTTTTATACATTTCTTAAAAGTTTGCATAGGTATAGGTGTATTAGCTATGCCTAGTGCATTTCGAAATGCTGGTTATGTTGTAGGCACTTTGGGAACTCTAATAACTGGTTTTATTTGTACTTACACACTACATTTAGCGGTAAGCATTAATATCAACTAGATATTGCTAAATTATTCAATTAATTAATTAATATTAATAAAATTATTAGACCTCTTTGATAGAAAAGTAAATTTATAATTCTTAAAAATATTTTTAAGTATCTATTAAAATTGACCTCTTGAAATTACACTTAGAACAGTTTTTTCTATTAAAAATTAGTATTCATTTAGTTTATTTTAAGTATATTTAAAATAATTATTTTATGTTGCTTTACCTCCCAAAGTTGTGGAACTACAAAATATTTAGATAAATCAGAAGACAAATTAAACTCTTGCCGATTTGGTGTCTTACTATAAATTAGTAAAAACGGTTCAGTTAAAGAACAATTTTTTTTGATGACTACAATTTAGCTTTTGTGAAATTTAAGGACAAAAAATTGATTATATTAAAACATAATTTGAAATTTTAATAGCTATTATTAATTAGGGCTTTAAAGTTTAAATATTTCAAATATTTAAGTAAAAAGGAAGGGGTAATAATAACTTTACACCTAAAAATTTTATTGAAAATTTAAAAAATATGTTTTTTACCTACATTTGTTCACGGCCATATAGTTAGGTTTTGTAAATGCATTCATAGATGTTTAAAGTTAATATTTAATAAGTTAGTATTTTTCAAATTAAATATTTCTTGGCATTTTAAAACCCTGTATTAATATTGTGATATCTATCATTGTGTTCTTATAGTTTCAAACTTCGTATGAATTATGCAAGAAAAAAAAAGTGCCAAGTTTGACATACTCAGCTTGTGTGGCGGCGGCTTTCGAAGAAGGTCCACAACTAACTAGAAAATTTGCACCCTTTGCTGAGTAAAATACTTATCAGTTAACTATGAATAGTACCGTATTCAAAAATCAGTTTCAGAAAAAACTCTTTATAAAAAAAATATTTATTTTTTACTTAATTCCCTTTTATCTGTACCTAGAAATAATACGGTAAAAAACTTGTGGGGTAGATAGCCTTGATCTCTTTTTTGGATACGGCGAGACTGAGAGACATAATTTATGATTCTTAGAACGGAAAGAGTATAAGTGAAATTTGTTAAAAATCTGAGTTAATCAGACTAACAAAAAATAATAATTCCTTTTATTAAAAATTTTGGAGAAAGCAATTATCATATAAAAATGATGGAAAATGTATTATTTTTACAAGGTATTAATAGAAAACAAAATGTGTTGAACATGACTTTCTCGAAATTAAACAATTTTACTGATACTATTTACATTTTAAGAGCCTCGTTGATGTATGTGCTTATTATCTTATCGAATATTGATTTTTATTTTTTAGATTTATTGTCAACTTTTTTTTAGTTTTGAGCTTAATCGGTTCCAATTGTGTGTACATAGTCTTCATAAGTACTAATATTAAATCGGTAAGTAAATTAACAACAAATATTATGAACTATGAATTGTAAATATTTTTACATTAATTTTTTAATTGACGATTGTTTATTTTTATTATAGGTTGTTGATAATCATTTCACAAATTCAATTGACGTCAAGATGTTTATGATTTACCTAATTATCCCCATAACATTGATTTGTTGTATACGTAATCTCAAATTCCTTATTCCATTATCATCAGTTGCCAATTGTTTGTCTTTGTTAAGCTTTGGAATCATATTCTACTATGTCTTCAGAGATGTTCCATCACTGAGTTCAAGAGAGCCTGTTGGTACCATTAAAAATATACCGCTATTTTTTGGAACTGCTCTTTTTGCTATGGTATCCATTGGAATGGTAATAAAAAAAAATTGAATATTCGAAAATAAAAACTGATATTTTATTACATATAAAAAGGTAGGCATTAAAAAACTCATTGAAGTTGCTGCGGTAAGGACTCGGTTTGATTAGAAAATTTTCTATTTCCACCCTTAAAGTTTTTTAATTATAAACAAATATAATAAGTGTGGTAATAAGGAAGACCAAAGTAACAGTTGAACGGTTAAAATTATATTTAAGGCCCCGCAGTTCTGAAATCGTAATATTACTAATTTTCCCACATTTTATCGAAATTAAAAAACGTAGAGTAAATTGGGTTGAAAGTTTATAACGGGGTAAGAGTACACTATTGAAATAAATATTATAATAGTTATAGTTATAGTGTTGTAACAAATTATTCATAAATATCAAGTCTTCGACCATTTTTACATGATTTTCTATTCATTACAAAATCGTCGAACTAAAATTGAATACATTAGAAAGATTATAAAAATTTTTCATACTTGAATGTTATATTTCACTCAAAAAGAATACTATTTTAAGTTTATAGAACAATTTTATAAAACTTGAATTTTTTTTTGGTTGGATATATAATATTTTTAATAATAAATATTGAGTCATTACAAAGTTATATTTTTACACACAATTTTGCCGTATAATTAAAAAATGAATGTATGCAATATTTTAACTTAAATTTACNATTTTAAGTTTATAGAACAATTTTATAAAACTTGAATTTTTTTTTGGTTGGATATATAATATTTTTAATAATAAATATTGAGTAATTACAAAGTTATATTTTTACACACAATTTTGCCGTATAATTAAAAAATGAATGTATGCAATATTTTAACTTAAATTTACTACTTTAATTTAGATATTCCCACTGGAAAATGAAATGAAAAATCCCGAAGGATTCTGTTCTGTCTTTGGTGTTATCAATTGCGCCATGTTGTTCATTACAATACTGTTTACATTTGTTGGGTTTTTTGGCTACTTAAAATACGGCGAAACTAATAATGGCATTATTACATTGGATCTACCTGCAAACGAAGTGTATATAGATTATAAAAACAATATATTATGTTCTTAATTATTTTTATCTTTATAGGCTTCCTCAACTGATGAAGCTTATGTTATCCATATCTATTTATAGCTGTTATTCTCTGTGCAATCATGTGTCTATCGATATTATATGGAAACATTTTGAAACAAAAATGGAAAAAAATGAATACAAGATCTGGTGGGAGTATACACTGCGATTGTCCTTAGTTCTATTAACATGTATGTGTCTCCTCATTACTTAATAATAGAATTAAAATTTATCTAAATAATTCAAATTTCATAATTTTAGTTTTTTTAGCTGTTGTTGTGCCAAACTTGGAATATTTAATATCATTTATTGGTGCTTTCTGTTCAACTATGGGCATAGCACTTCCAGCTATCATTAATTTATTAACGTTTCTGGATGTATATAGGAAACAAGGATGCTTACGATTAAGCCTGTTTATATTGAGGAATTTCCTCATTGTGTTAATTGCCATCTTTGCATTTATTATTGGAGTGTCCACTTGTATTAAGAATATTATAGCTATCCAAGAGTGATCACATCTAGAATAATTTTTGTTTTGATTTTTATTAAGCTGTCATCTGGATCGAGTGAAGCGGTTTTTATTTTAACTATAATTGTTATTAATTTTGAAACGAATCAAAAATAAAAAGTTAAAATTAAATTAAACGCGAGCTACAAAAAAGTCATGAATTTAGCTATATTAGCTATTACACTCTAATCATATGAGTATTATCGCGTTTTGAAGTATTTAAAGCGAGAGCTTTTTATAAATAATTGTAAAAATTAAATTTTATAATGGATACTGAAAGTAATTTAAGGAATTATTATTTTTATATTAAAAATAATTAAAATTTTCTTTAAAAAAAATGTTTATTTTATACACACCTCTATTAATTTATTCATTAATTAACATAATCCAAAAACAAATTAATTATTAATTATATTATAGTAGGCAAATGTCTATTAAAAACTGTATTTTAAATTACAAATTTAAATAAACCTTGATATGAAGGATAATGGTCCCCTTAGAACAATAATAATTACATGGTCATTATAAAGGTATTTTTAAGAAAACAATGAAAAATATTCTTATGTATCCCCCAAATACAAAATTACGTTACTGTTTGAATGATTTTCCAAGTTTTCAAAATCAATGAATAAGCGTTAAATAGAAATAAGTATTACAATAATACCCAAAATTAGTGTTCAAAACGAATATTAAATAGTATAAAACCGATAAATTCATCATGTTGTATACCCTTTAGTTCTTTCAGAAAAACAATATGAAGATTCAGTAACTGAAATCATATTCTCATAGTACCCGGATACATGGTCGACGATGGTGGGCCGAGCGTGGTCGACCTGAGTTGCCAACGTAGGTCGACCGGCCGATAGTTAGCAGTATACATTTTCTTATGAGTCCCTGGTAGAAATATTCAAAAATGTGACATAATTCCGGTGCGTCGTGTTTGACTGAACGGCTTCGACCATAAAACGTTTTCATATCGAGCGCATGTCTATCATGGACTGTAGTCGGCACCGGACTTAATAGACCGGTACCGCACGGAACTCTTAAATAAACTACACATAGTACCCTGGTATACGGAAAGCGGTTGTTTCATTTTCAGTTACGCTTACCACCCACGCTTTTTGTTTGTACAAAAATTATTTTTTCAAATATAATTTTCTTTTACATAATCTATTAAATGAATTTAATCAATTTAAATAATGAAATTATTTAAGTAAATTTGAACAGTCATGGATTTATACATAACATATGGTTTTTATTTATAGTTTAACTTGAACATAAATGAGCTTTATATATATTAATGTGTAACTTATTTTTTTTTATCTACTAATTAAACACAAAGAAAACAGAAATACAATATTAATTTAAATTATAAAAACAGTCGAATAAAATTTGATAAAATATTGAATAAATTAAATTAAATTAAATTAGACAAACTCATTTATCGAAATTTTTTAACAATACAAATAATTTTTCACTTCATTACAAGAAATGTTTACTATAAACAAAATAAAATTGGCTGTAATTAAATAAAAATAACTTTATACAATTATATGAAATAATTTAATGTCGAATGCAACGTAGAAACAAAATTTATTGTGATACACGTTGACGTATTTTACTAAAATAATTATTAATGTTACTTTAACAACAACATTAAGTTAATAATTATTGTGTACATTGATGAGATTATATAAGGAGATATAAACAAAATCGAATAAAATTATTAAATTTAAATTAACTATATTTTTTAGTATCATTTTGTTGTTTCACGTTTACAGAACTTGCTACCAGGGTTCTATACATGTTTGACTTTCATTAATTCAATGGAATTAAATAGACAAATTAGATACTAAGAACAATTAGTACGTGTCCAAAAATTAATGACAATGTGCTCGCATTTTTTACAGTATTAAGTTTAGTTAAAAATATAATGATATAATATATTAGACTTCTGTCAAATAAATAAGTGATTATTATTGTTTTGAAATATATTTACATACAATGTATATACAATTTATAATAAAAAATAAATTTCAATCTAAACTTCTTAGCAATAGTTTTTACATTTTTGTAAAATTCGAAGTTTTTAAAATTACACAAATCGCTTACAAAATTAAACACTAACTAATTTTTAGCTTCGATGCAAAGCTGAGAAGGCATTAATTTTACCATGATGTGTTTTTTTTTTTTATGTCTGTTGCCACTTTTTCTCAGGTTTTACTGGACCGATTTCTTTCAATAATACGTCAAAAGATCACAAATCGCATCTAGTTGAAGACATTACCATTAAAAATTGAAAAATATTCCCTCGATCCCCGCAAATGGGGGAAATATCCAAAAAAAAATTTCAAGAAAAACTATTGTTTTATATTTTGTTATTTATCTATACAATTTTAAAGACTTGTTAATTTTCTGTTAACAAATAGGTAGGTAACTAACTACTTTTAATTTTTCTAGAGAAACTGTTATGTTTTATATTAATTAAATATCTACTAAGAAAATGTATTAAAATAATATACTTTTACTTATTCATAATTTTTGAATTTCGTTAATTCAAATGTGCCCCGCATATATTCAAATGTACTTGTGTTTAACATTTTATAATTAACTATTATTCAATGATGTAGATTATAATAATTACAGTTGATGTTAAATTATTATGAGAATCTAACAGGACCATTATACTTCAAATTAAATGTAAAAAAAAATTAAAAATCAAAATGTAATTTTCATTCAAATCTGCTCCAGTCTCTCCTATACTTATATTGTGATATAAAAATCGATAGTTACAAATCTAATCTATACAGTCATATTGTGTTAAAAAGTTAAAAAAGTTAAAAAGTTAAACGATGTAGAAATTTCCATTAAGAAGACTTTTAAAATACCTACTAGGGTTTTATGAGCATTGTTTGGATTTACAATAACACAATAGTAGGTTGTCGAGTTGTTTTTGTTAAATAGGTTATGACGTGTACTATCTGTTGAACATTTTGTTGTTTATTAATTGTTAACAAAATAACTATCTAGAATAAGAAAATTAAATTAACCAAAATATAAATTTATGATATTTGTTCATTTATTTGTTTTAATTATTTTAATCGAATAACCTACCTGGAGTGGTAGAATATTTGTTGCCACATATTTTATTTATAATAACTCTAAACTTGAATATATGTACTTATGAAACAATAATGAATTTGTATAAACTTTTAAAAATATAATCATAGTAAAAATTATTTCACTTCAGTTATTATTACTATGATTTTTTTTTTTGTTAAAATATAAAATATTAAATTTATATAAATTTAAGTTTTGAGAGAGAATTACCAAAAAAGTAATTTGAAAAATTATTCTCATAAATGATAGTCATAGTTAAAGCGATCTATTGACTAACAATTGTCCTATTGTGACTGCCCAACACGACCTAAGTACAAAAGCAATCTCTTGGCCATGGCTGTGTCCTGTCCGATACAAATACCAACAGAACGACCGTCACATTCGTCACACACTCTTACCTCGGCAATATGCCGTTGCCGCGGCCGCAATTGCCCCGTGCAATGTTATGTCACACAACCGCGTTTTGGTACCAGGAACCTATGCGGTTGGTGCGTACTGCTGAACACTAGTCTAGGTCACGCTCCAGATTCGCGATCAGCTTCAGGGCACTAGTTCATTCAAGTGTCACACACACCAGGGTCGCATAATCCGTATATTTCTTTACATAATATAGTCCTAATTTAAATAAATAGTCATTTTCCAGACATTTTTGCTAGAAATAATAATTATTTTCTGGATTTAAAACAAAAAATTTTCAATCAGCTTCAATTGCTTTTATACACCCAATAATTTTTTCCCTATTTTTAATTGATTTCATAACTATCCTTTAAAATAACAATTTCTTAAACTAAATTAGTGGATGATATCAACTGAAAAATTATTTTATTATTAATAATTAATTATGTAATTTTTTTGTACTAACCAACATATCTATTAAATATTTGATAACTTATTAAAACTATATGATTTTATTCAATTTTTAAAATAATCATATGGTCAAAATAAAACAAAATTTATAAAAGAGAATAAAGTAAATAATATGTAACAATAATTTACGATAAAAACAACTGATGACTCTATCTAGTACAATATTTTCAAATAAAAAAATTTTGTACAACTGTACATTATTGTAATACCTTATATTGGATACGTTAACTCTAACGACAAAAGAGACGTTCAAATAACATAATTAAAACTTCCTGGAAATTGTCATTGTTTAATAATATATTCATAGAAAACTTAGTTCATTCATGCTGGTTGAACGGTACAGATAGAAATAATGTTATCATCCCGTAGTTATGGTGCCGATGTTATGTCACATTCGTGGAAATGATAACCAGGGTCGTATAAGCTTACCATTCGTCAAAGAAAAACCAGCTACGACAATAAAAACCTTAGGTCGACAATGATACTGTCCAACACAGTCGTCGACCGTACCGATGGTGCCTAGTACCAGGGTCGCATGTACTTAACGCTATTCGCAATGTTCTCGTTAGCTGCTGCGGCTGTAAAATGACACCGTTTAATCACACTTATTAATTGTTTTCTAGAAATTATTTTATACATTTTATAGTATTTTATTTTTATTTAAATTACGTATTTTTTACTTTCGGTTCTAATCAATAATTTAAGTAATTTATAATTGTTGTTATAAAAATTTCTATGATTTTCTATAATATTATGATTAATTTATAGTATCAATAGTGCTGAGAACATTATTTTGTAGAGTATATTTTAGGAATAAATTATTTAGGAGTAAGAAATTAAATAACAAATTATATAAGCTATTTTTTTTTAAATATCCAAAGCAATAGTAAAAGTTTTTAATGGTACTTAGAACAACAATTTTTTTATACATTTTGATGAGTGTTTATTCAATTTTTAAATCAAAGCAATTAAATCTGAAAATCAAGAATCATAACTTGGGATAAATGAAGAAAATTACTAATGTTAAGTCCACAAAAGTCGTAACTTAAAAACACGTTCAAATACTTTATCATAACTCATAGAACCCATAGAACTCATAGAACTCATAGAACCCTGGTATAAAATTTACTAAAATCATCATAAAACAATATTCACACATTTCATTACATTAATATTATAATTAAATTAATATTCATATTTTACAAAATACATGAAAATAAATTATATAAAAAAATATTTAATGTAAAATTACATTAAAAGTTTATATTTCCTAAAATTCACTAAAGAAAGGTTTAATATATAAAAATTTAACATGAACGCCGTTCATGTTAAATTTAATGATTATTATATATTATATGTAATTAAATATTTTAACTTATAAACTTGTTTTTTTAGTAAATTTCTCATTGTCATGTATTACATTTAAATTTCCATGAATGATTCACAATCTAAATTGTTAGCAAAATAACTTTGTTCATCTACAAATTTTTTGTAAATATTTGGTCTTTCCTATATTTGGATTAATAAAAATACTAAGAGCATGTTCGTAATAATAAAAAACACAATATCTATGTGAAACTGTAATGTTACAGAAACATTTCATTAAAATATCACACAGACGTTACATTGAGATGCGTATTTCAAATTGACTACCAGGGCTGTATGGTCGTGTAATGTACTTTGGTAGTTTTCACTAACGTTTTTATTTTTGATTATTTATTTGAATCATAAGATTGAAAGAAGTATTCATATTAAATTTACATTAAAGACCGTAAATCGTTAAAATAAGTTTTTTTATTATTAAAAATAATAAATAGATGGGTTGTTTATTTAATCTCTCAATAATTAAATTAAAATTTAATAGAAGTAATTTTCAAACAAATATTTTTTCTCTGAATTTTACAGCACACTTCTTTTGTTTTTGAAAATAGCAAACTTTATTAACGATTTATAAATAGAGTGTTAAGTAAGTAAAGAAACGGGTTCTAATGACTTGTAACAACTGACCTGTTTCCTTAATTACTAAACATCCTGATAAAATCCATATTCGTGTAAGTTTTAAAAACACTTATCGCAATTCATTATTGGCTATTGTTTTTTATTAACATTCCCCATAGCTGACCACAATTCAGGTACAAACTAAATGTACATTACATGTTATGCAGATATTTATTAGTTGTTAACAGTTGTACAATAGCTTACAAGATTTACACGACGTATGTTTATGCAACGCACTTTGTGTTGTTGTATAATTAATTTTAGATTAGACACCGTTAGGGATCTGAGCCAGAAATCTGTGTCTTGATTTTTTGTAAACACGCATTCTTCATTATTAATATTTATCATTTTACAAAAACAAATAACTGAACTAATATTTTTCATTGTTATAGACTATCACAAAACCTTACGTATGATTAAATGAGTATTTTTTAAATTCTATTTAAAAAAAATATTAACATCAAAACTATTAGCAAATACAAAAGCATGTTTTGATTTTTTTATTTAATATTATGATATTTAATTGAAAATATTTGATTTTAACCTTTTAAGCGATTTTATAATTCTGACTCGTTTCAAATTTAAACGAGCCTTTGATGTTTCAAATAGTTATTTCACATTACTAATGATCCTAATTTAGTAAAATTAATCTTCATCAAATGGTATTGGTACACTTGTAATAATTAATGAAATAAATTTAATCAAAGAATAATTAAAAAACAATATCCGTCTAACATAATGCATGCTTGTAATTTTTTCCATAACTCACTACATTTGTAAATTTTTTAATTAATTTAACATGACATAGCCGTCTACTTAATCAAAGTAAAAATACTTAATTTATGACAAAAAGACTACGATGTCTTAATGTGTAATAAACTCTAACGAACTCTCATTGTGAGTAATTTAAAATAACAGTTGTTTAAATTTATTAGGATAATAATTGAACGACGTCAAGCTGATAGAAACTAATTATGTTTAATCTATTTGTTCCATGTAAGAACCAATGCCTCGTATAGTATCGAACCAATATTATACTCTTTTTATTGATTTTACTGGACATATTTATTCATACTGTAATTAAACATTTTATCTTGTATTAATCACTTAAAATTTTTATTTTTAAAAAGAGCCATAAATTAGTGTAATTGATAGTCGTGTGACTTAATTGCATTTTAAATGATTCATAAATATATTATACTTAAATAGAGTAACTTAAAATATAAGATTAATTTGTTTAATATTCAAGTTTTATCGTCTGAAATCTTATTTTATAAAATAAGAAAAATGGTAAATTATTTCATCTTTTGATATTTATTTTTTAGTAATAACTTTTATAAAATTTTAAATAATTTAATAATTAATGTGAAAAATCATTGGTTAAAAAAAGATTAGGTTTATTTATTAAATCCTCTCAGACAGGTCAGTCCAATTACACTGTGTCTATTATTTATTTAAGTGAAATTGTAAATATGTAAATTATCAAATATTGCTATATCATTTTTGAAAAAAATTCTACTCAATTAAATTTTAGATATTATATGGTAAAACAATAATGTATTATTTATATTAAAAAAAAGAAAGTTGAACACTTCTATTGGACGTAAATTGTTTTTGTATTTGACAATAAAGTCCGATGGCCTTTAAAAAGTAAAAATATTTTGGCAAACCTCTGACAGGCTTCAAATAAAATAATATTCTATATTGTATAAAAATATGTTTAATTAAATTGAATGAAATATTTTAAATATCAAACCTTAACTTTTTATAGCAGTTCTACGGTAGTCAAATAAAAAAGTATTTCAACAAAAACATTTGTCAAAACCGTTTTTATCATCTCAATCTCAATTTGACAGTTGACTGTCAAAGTTAATTTTGCATTTTTTCAATTACTCCATCTGAGTATTCAAAAAATAACACGACACGATTAAAGACTGCAAATAAAACATCAACAAGAGTTCAATGGCTCTGGCGGTGGCTAATAATAGTTATTTTGAATATAACAGCTCTCTACTTAGAATGAATGAACAATTGTTCCTCTTATCTCACTGTACATGTATCGACCTACCGGTGTCTCGATTTTACACATAGATGTTGTATTGATCAGACACGAGGTGGCGGCCAAATTGTGGAAATGCGCATGCGTTTGGAGTTGGCTTCAATTAAACCGCTTGCACGTTTAGAGCACAGTAGTCCGGTACGGTCGTCGAAGTACCTTGTTAATGTGTGTCAAAAGTGCTAAATCTACTGTAGGAAACTACTCGGATATTTCTTTTTTTATTTGACATTTAATGACAAATTATAGAAGCCACCAGCTGTTCAATTCAAATGCTTCTACATAGTTGAAAAAAAATATAATAGTGTTCAAAGTATTGAGATAGATCGAAAAATCCACGTGCACAAACTTCTAACGGATAAGAAAATCATAAAAAAATGACGGAAACGGTGGCGCTTACAGGAATTGGACCACCAGAGAAGTAAGTTTTTCTATACATTTGGAAATAATTAAATCGATATAAACTTTTTTTAATAACAAAGTAGGTTACACTAATATACAAGGACAATACGTGCGTTCACATCATACATGTCTTTTAAAATTTGTGTTGTATCGTCCTATTTTTATGTTTCAACAAATTTAAGCATGTGCTTAGGTATCGATATTTACGTTAGTTCACGTTCTAGTTTATACATATTAAAAACTCTTATATTTCTACAAAGGCGATAAATAATTTAAGTAAACTATACATTTGACTAAATAAATACACATGACTCTCACTTATCGTAAAAGAAAATACAAGAGTTTATCCAACAAGTGTTATATTTTTGTTTATCATTACAAATACATGTTATAAAAATTTTTTTTTATAAATAGTTTAAAAATTTAATTCATAATACAAGCAAACTAATATAAGCAAACTTAATTAATTCTACAAGAAATTGTTACTAACTAGTTTTCTTTTTTTTTTTTATATTTTTTTAGATCACTGTTTTTGCCAGTACGATAGTACAAAAATAGTAAACATTTCTGATAAACGAATTAACACTTTGCTCTTATTAAAATTTATTGAACGTATATTATATTATAACATATATAGTTCTTATAACGGTTGAAGAACTATTCTTACTAATTAATGTTCAATAGTTATTATTGAACATTAATTAAGTAAGACCGGTATGTAAAATGTATTTTTTCAAAACATAATCTAAATTAATAGTAAATATTTTTATCTTATATGTTTATTACATTTAGATATTTATTTAGATAATTTTAAAAAATCACATAAAACATACAAATAAGGACTTTGGTATAAATGAATAAAATATACAAGACCATAGAAACATGAAATTTTTCTCCCTCTTGTTAAACTTGATTTTTTCCTTAATATGTTTATTAGTATTAATATTTAACGATACCGTCAAATAATCATTTTGATTGACTATTAAAACCTATTTAATTAATTTTACGATTTTGTAGTAAAATAATATATAAGCAAAAATATAATCTATACTTAAATGAATTACAATAGAAAAATAAAATTGTATTTTTACACTATTTTTTACTTTAATATTGTATAATTTATTTTATATTTTACTTTGGAAAATATGTAACATTAAATATACGGAATGTGTGTTGTGCGCAAAATTATTAGCCGTCAACTAAATTCAATTTTATCTTGTTTGATATAACTATAAAATAAATGTTCATTAATAAGATGTTTACATGAAGTCTTGTTTTTATTTTTTTTTAATATGAATAATAGACGATTACATGATGGCAACTAAGCAATAAAAAAATAGTAGTGTACACTATACTAGCAGTTTTATTTGAAATATATGGAATGACTAAAACTAGTATCTAAATTTGATATTAAAAATTAATTTAATATGCTTTTTGTAATTTATTTAAAAATTAATATCAGTGAAGTATCTACGCTTTAAAAATGTTTATTACCTATGACAAATGAAAATGTAGAATGGTTCACTTTTTAGATAGTAAAATTGTTGAAGCAATTGAATTAATAATAGATTACTTTAAATTAATTAATTCCATAGAAAAAGTATTAATTTTACTGAATTCAAATTGTTTTTAGTGGCATTAAAGAACAAAAATCAAAATCATACAATGTAAACTTAATGTCTGAAGAAATTGTTGCTCTGCAAGGAACTAATGGAACTCCACCTTACGACCCACATGCTCATCGCGTACTTGAACATCCAACTACGTGAGTTTATTTTCTTGGATACATTAATCTTCATAATATATGAAAATAAGTATTCTATACTTAGTATGTATACAATGTTTACATTAATTTTTAACTGTCTAATTATCGACTAATCGACGTGAGCCTTAATAAATCATTTATGATCTAGCTATTATTTGCATTACATTAATGCCAACTTAACGAATACATTTTTGTTTAAAAACAATTTATTTACACTGATTCCTTCAAAAAATAAGAATCTATTTTTATAAGTTCAAGTTGATTATATTGTAATATTATTGTAATTATTAGACACTTTTTTCTCTTGCAATTTTCTATCCTTTATTTTTGCATAAGTGCCAAGACTACCTTATGTTGTAACACGGTGATATTTCAAATTTAATGGAATACATTCCGTTTACATTTGCTTAGACATCTTTCGCTTTTTCTCTTTTTTATTTTTTTCTATGTCATGCAATTTTTTTTCTGTACCTTAGTAGACTCATAAATGCATCGAATATTTTTCTGTTACCTGTTACTCATTCTCATAATGTAAAGCTTAGTTTTATTTTCTCTAAATGCTTATATACTCACCTTTATAGTGCGTGATTTACTTTTATACTGTTATATATTTTATGAAATCTTCTAATATATTCAAAAACTCATTTCTACTAACGTGATTAAGAAAGCCTAATTTCTCTTCTTGATGAGTACTTTTACACACTAAAAAAAAACTTATAACTAAGCCTCTTAACAAGGATTTTTTGATATTTCGTCTCTATTGTAAGAATAGTAATNCGTGATTTACTTTTATACTGTTATATATTTTATGAAATCTTCTAATATATTCAAAAACTCATTTCTACTAACGTGATTAAGAAGGCCTAATTTATCTTCTTGATGAGTACTTGTACACATTAAAAAAAAAACTTATAACTAAGCCTCTGAACAAGGATTTTTTGATATTTCGTCTCTATTGTAAGAATAGTAATTTTTTTTTTTTAAATAATTTGTATTTATTTTTTCAAGTATCCTAAATAGGTAATTGTTCATTTATAGTAATGGAGAAACCTTAATTCATTTAATCAAAGGCAGTCTGGGTACCGGAATATTAGCTATGCCAAGTGCTTTCAACAACTCAGGTTTACTGATTGGGAGTGTCGGGACCATTCTTATTGGAATATTATGCACTTATTGTCTTCACGTTTTAGTGAGTATTTTATTTATTTTATTGAAAAAAAAAACATTTTTTTCTTCTTCTATGAATTGAAGTAATTAAGTTATAAATCATACCTGATTCAAATTAGTTCTAAATCATAAAACACAGTTTAGCATTAAAAAAAGTTTTAAAAAATAAATGATCAGTTTTACATCCTACTATTTTCCAAACTTAAAGAGTCGGCCTAGCGTAGTGGGTAGAAACGTATGTTTCGGGGCCAGAGGTCTCGAGTTCGATTCCCTGTAGGCCAACGAGATTTTTCTTTTGATTTTCTCATTGGTGAAGTCTGGTCTCTAGTGCAAGCCGGCCATTATACCCGTCACGTCCATTATTGGCTTAGCCAAGAACCATCTTTGGTCATTTTAAAATAAATTTAAAAACTTTATTTGATCGCATATTATTAGTTGTGTAACTTTAACATAAAATAAGTTTATGATCATTTATGATACTTGATGCTTGTTTTTTATTGCTTAAGTATTCCATAAAATTTTAAATTTATTTTTAAGTTTACTTTTTCATATTCCTCACTGCAAAATAGGAAATTTAATTTAATTTTAAAATGAAAAATATAGTAGTTCATTATGTTTAAACAAGAATCGCCCAATTAATTGAAAACAATTAATTTGAATACCTTTTTAAAACAATATAATTTGATTCTTTATGGACAGTACGTGCGCAATCTAGCAAAATATTATTATATTATTGTTTTTATACTACTCAAATAAGTTATTTTCACTCTTAACATAGTATTCTATCATTATTATTTGGGTTACAAATCTGGTCTACATTAGACCCATAGCTCTCATATTTCATTAAAATTATTGACGTCATGAAAAATTATGTCTTATACATTTATGTTTTTAGANCTGGTCTACATTAGACCCATAGCTCTCATATTTCATTAAAATTATTGACGTCATGAAAAATTATGTCTTATACATTTATGTTTAGGTACAATAGAATTTAAGTAGTCATTAATTAATAAAACAATTAATGAACTCTATGTTAATTAATAAAATTTAAATTCTGTCGAGTAAAAATAAGCTGACTTATAAATAATTATTAGACTACACCCAATATTGTAATACTTTTTATGGAGCAATTTCATTTTTAAACAAAAATAATAACATCATTCATTAATGTCACTCAATATGCTGGTACATTTTCTTAGAAATTACTTAGAGCATAATATAATATTTTATATGACGTAATTCTGACTATATTATTACATGAAGTATCAAGTTGCTGAATTAATACATTTCTAGAGGTAAAAAATACTTGATATATTTTTAATTTCAATCGAATCTCACTTTTATCCGACACTGTATGTTAAAAATAAGTACACGCAACGCAACTATCTCATGGACTTTGTGGTGTATATAACCTTCCATACAATATAATATATGAATAGTCATTTGTTAAAAGGGACCTTAGCAAATTTTTACTCAATAAGTTTTATGTTTGAGCATTTTATAATATAAACACGTTTTTTTTCAAATGTCATTTTAAAAGTGGTATTTATGTGTATAAAATAATTTTTAAATACACATAATATGCGAAAAAAATAGTTTTTGTCTATGCTGAAAAATTAATCAGAGTGGACATATATCGCTTGTAACAAATGAATTTTCATTTAATTTGTTCTTACACTACCAATTTTTACTAATATTTTTTATAAAAAGGTTAGATCTCAATATATCCTGTGCAAAAGAAGACGAGAGCCCATTCTTAGTTACCCAGATTCTATGAAGTACGCCCTACAAGATGGACCGCAGTTCTTGAAATTTTTAGTCCCATTCTCTGCGTTGGTGATATTTATTTCATCTTAAATAATATATAAATAATAAGGTTCAATGAAAAAATAGTTATATTCAAGTTGTACTGTGAAGTTATTCTTGACATTAGTACTCCTTAGACACGTAAAATAATAATATAAATTGTATACGAGTCTAATGACTGTGGTAACGTATACTTCCTATAG